AATATCCTTATCTTGAAATTGAGCCATGCCCAACACTGGGCACCAATTTATCCTATCTCCATTTAAGGCTTAGGGCAAGTCCAGGGAGCAGGATTTTCTCTCTGTTGTCCCCTACCCTCCCAGGGGAGGACAAAAAAAAGGGAACAGAGAAAAAGCTGCTTCACACAAGGTTGGAAGTTAAGACTATAACAAGTTTAATGAAAAAAAACCGGGGGGAAGGAAAAAGGGAATTAATAAGGGACAAAGGATATTTAACTATATACAAAACCTGATCCCAGTAGTCCCGAGTGGAAGTGTCCGAGCAGTGTCTCGTGGCCGCTGTGACCACTGCGACTCGTCACCAGGGACCGCAGTGGTGCCAGGAAGCGGATGGTGGTGGATGCTGCTGGGCACGTGGAGATAGTCCCAGCCATCCCAACTCCCAGGATACAACAGGAAGCAGCCCAGGAAACCAGAAAAAGCCTCAGGCCTCCTCGGTTTTTTATAGACTTTGGCGGGAAAAGGGAGGGAACAGTCTGATCTCTGAACTCCCAGGGTTCTACAGACACCACCTGTTCTTCCCTTCCAGGCTGTTAACCCTTAAACCATAACATCACTAAATCAGTGGTACAGTAAAATATCACGTTTCAATGCTGAGCTCGTTATCTGCAAAGACTGGGAAGGAATGTTCTTTGATGTTCTGTTGGCTAGGTATCGGATGCATTTTGCCCTCCTCTGATGAACCAAGACTTAGAGTAGTCTTTACCCCTGCTAAAAGATGAAAGTGAAAATCCCAACACATATGTCTCATTGAAAGTGTTGTTCATGTCTTCTGGGACAATCATACCGCAGCACTTGCAGGCAAGGAAGAATTCCCCTCAAACAAGGATCCTAGGTTTCGTCTTCATTCCAGTTAGATTGAGCTCCTGTTACTATCATCTGGTTTATCTCAGCTGAAAAGTTCTTAAAGTGCTGTTGTTTCCAGCCTCTCCTAGTCTCTTCTTCTGGCATTTCTAAGAGTAAAATTTTTGTGACTTACACAGATAGAGAAGATGTAATTAGGAAGAAAAATGAACTATCTGGATTAAATGTCATGTTTCATGACAGGCAAGCCAGACAAATGAGCTGCCTGTATTTGCAGTTTTAAGAATTTTAAAATATCAGATTTTAAAAGCTAGGTCTAAAAGTGTGAATTATGGACTAAGTTTAATCACAAGGATAAGCACAGCTTAAGTCTTCATTAAGAATTCTTTTTCTGGCTGGTAAAACCATGGAAGTGAGCCATGCATAAGCAGTTCCTACTGTAGTGCACACTGCATTCACCAGCAACAAGACTTTTTATCAGTTCCCTGTAAATTCAAGCTATTCTCTTCTAAATGCACTATGCCAGAAACTCATGCATCAGATTGATTATCTTTCACCTGATTTGAAAAGAACATTTATGTGAACTCAGGAGATTCAAGCTGTCTTAGCACTAATGCTAAAAAAAAACCCCAAAACACTATGAATAAATATTGAAGTAGATTGTGACCAGATAATTTGTAAGGAAGGACTTCACTGCACCAGGAAAAAAACAAAACAAAACAAAACAAAACCTGTTTCTTGATCTCCCATGCACTGAGGGTTTATACAAATTGAGAAATCATAGAACTACTGTGCATGTGTATATATGACCATACTATATCCACATCAAGAGTTAAATTTACTTAGTACCTGCCATTTTAAGACTGAGGATGCTTGTAACTTCTGCTGATTTGAACTTTGTTAAAAGTCTTTCACATCAAGGGTTTTTTTGCAGATCCTTTAGGTGACAGTGAAGTGTTAAGAGGGAGGCATTGAGAACTATCTTGAGGAAGAAAAAGAAACTTAGAGCCCTGCCTATTCAAACACAAAGTTTACAAAGTTGAAATTTCAGAAGCGAGGAAATGCCAAAACAAACTTGTTCATTTCACCTTCTTTCTGCTCCTCTGTCTTCATGCAGGAGAGTTTAATCTGTAATCAGATATTTTCCTACAGTGTAACTCTGCCTCCCTCAGGGCACAGGCTGGATGCACAACTGACAAGCAACGATAAAGCTAAAATTGGTCCCCATTGGTAACAGAAGTTTTAGTGAAATTTCTAGGAATTTAATCATACTTGGTGCATTTTTTCTAGCAACAGCTCTACGTTGGATCTGAGTCAGTCATAGCACAAGTGAAGTTCCACCAGTGTGACATGTACGGCACCGCCTGTGCAGACTGCTGCCTCGCTCGAGATCCATACTGTGCTTGGGATGGGATCTCCTGCTCTAGATATTATCCCACAGGAATGCAGGCTAAGAGGTGAGAACTAGTGCTTTCTGTGATATCTGTTTTGCAAAATACTTACGTAAAGAGTACTTACTGTAATACTAAGTACTTCGTATCCCCATTTCATAAAAATAACTGAGCACTAAGAAGATATGTTAGTTGCTGATTTATTAGCAGAACATTAGGAGATTGCAAAGGAGCCAGATTAACAGGATGGCATATAGTGCAGTACCAGGAATATTTTTATGAGTGAGGCAAAGTCACTTAGTAATTATTTGCAGTAAGTTTTAAACAAACCTTGATTTCCTTATGCATCTTTTGGTGTGCAGAGGAAAGATTTTTTACAACATCAGACATATTTCTTGCTAGCATTATACAGGGAATATAGCACACTGCAATAACATATACAAGAGAATTTCCAGAAAAAGCAAAGAAGAATCTGTCTAAATAGTCAAACACCTTCACCAACCAGAATGAAACCAGAGTATCTGCAAAAGCTAACATTAGGCTTAGGCTTTCTCCAATGTATTTCTAAAGACAAGTTACTCTAGAGGCCAGTTCAATGCACAAACGTAGTTTGAGTGCTTTAGGTCTTCCCTTCTCTCTACCAACATTCACTTATTCATGGCTCTTGGCCTTTACTCTTTTGTGCAGTACTTTCCCATATACCTGGTCTCTTTGCTTCCCTCTCAAACCCATGTTCTCCAATTCAGCTACACAGATACTTGATCAAACATCTAGAACATGCATATTTAATCCAGATCTTTTCACAACACTCTGAAACAGCTTTGCCACTAGGGAGAGTAATTTCTAACCTTTATCAGTAAACCTTTGCTAATATATAATTCAAATTTTTGTGGCTTTTTTACAATTACTGTTTCTTCAAATATATGGTTATAAATATTAGACTTACATTAGACTTACTGCAAGCATTAGAATGAATTTAGTAACTACTGGAGACAGTTTTGAAAACCAGTGGAGATGGTTCAGTCAAAACCAAGTCTTAGTATTCTAAATTCATTATTGTTTCTTAAGAAAAAACAGGAAGGTGGGGGTGTTTTGGCTTTTTTCTTGTGTTATTTTTTGTCCTTCATACCTTATCTTTCCATGAACCTGGATGCATTTAAACAAAAGCATAGCTGACTATAGCCAGGCACAACAGATATTTCTGTGGACTTTTCAAGAAGATAATGAACACAGTTGTGTAAAACTGAGAAATGCAGCCAATGACTCAGCATAATTAAGAATCTCTTGGACAACTTACACGAAGGAATAGGTAGGTTTCCAAGTAGGAAACCGACATCATTTTTTCAAGCAGAATTGCATAACCTTTTCATGTCTTTTGCAAACAGACCTAAGGGGAGACATGGACTCTGGTTGTCTGCTCAGTGTGAGAGGAGTCTGGCCAAAATTTTCAGGCCCCAGATTAAGAAAGATGAGCAGCTGTACAGCAGGTCAGGGAGATTAATTTCCTATAGTATAAGTAGAAATTGGATTATCACAATTATAAAGTATATGGATTACTCATCTAATGATGTAAAAGTCATTTGCAGAGACAGTTAAAAAATTTCCTACCAGCCTGCTAGAACTGTATCAGTGTTTACATTGTTCTGCAGGCTACTTATTTTCTAAGAAAAGATAAGAGAAACTCACTTTGTCCTGAACTTAGCTGTAAATTTTTAGCATATTTCTCACCTAAGACATTTTCCAGAGTAGCAGCCGTTAAGTCCCCTGACATACACTTTTATCCAGGGCTGAGTGATATGGATAGCGCCCCAGGCACCTTCCTGTGCCTTACCTCCCCAACATTCAGCAGGTCAGTTGCTAAAAGAGGAAAATACTGCTGTTATCACCCTCCTTCTCTTAAGATAAGAACTGTAGCCGTGGCCTGTTAGGCCTGTAACTAGTGGAGTGCCCCAAGGGTCAGTACTGGGGCCAGTATTATTCAATATATTCATCATTCTTGAAGTCTGGAAAATTTGTTTTACATAGAAGAGTTTGAGGAACAGCCAGCAAGAACTAATAATGTTGAAGGGGACGGATGGCATTTGCTTTGTTCACTTTAGCTCAGAGCTGAGGTTCTGAGCATTTTAAACTTATGAGCTTATACTAACTGTGTGGTACATGGAGAGGAAGGGAGAGCTACTCAGGACACATGTATGGAAGTTGTTTTAAATTGCCTCCTGCTGGGTTCTAGGTGGAGAGCACTGCTGGAAAAGGCAGGTCTCGGTAGACAACATGGAGTTTTCTGACACTAAGAGACCCTGAGCAGGTGATAACCCTGCCATGGCTGCCTTGGGTTAATGGCACAGTTAATGACACATCATAGACCATGCACATCTTAATTTGGCCTTGTCTCAGGGCTCGAGATTTCTGGTCTAGCTGTACAGGGTAGTACAAGTAATGTGAGTACAAGGTGCATTGGAGACTGCCTGTTTCTCCTCATTCTTGGCAGCCCTCATTTCATCAGGACTTACAGAGCTGTGTCTTACAAGCACACTTGAGCTGGCTTTAATACCACCACTATCTGGTCAAATGTGGCCCTCATACAGCACATTTAGGTGAGCTTTTCACTTGTAAGAGCAGCCCTGCTAATGCAGTAAGAGCACTGCTAAGAGCTCTCTTTCTAATTCCACTCCTACTGGTGAAGAGTTGAACTGAAGCAAGGATGTACAATGTGTCCTCCCCACTTCGTTTCAGATGCTCTCTGCTTTAGATCCTAATGCCTCCAAGATACGACAAGTGTTTAAAGTATGAAATAGAACAACTGTAAACTAAGGCATGTACAGGATATAGAAAGAACTGCAACATAAATACAAAAAACTCTGACGTCTGGTACTAATGTGTCAAAGTTGAAAGCTTATATCATAATTCCTGATATATGCAAAGCCTGAATAATTAGTTAGATACAGGATATAATTAAGAAGAAATAAAAACTGAGCCCAAGATCCCATACGTTAATGCTGGCAGTGCAGCACATTACAATGTTACAGCAGTTACAGGTGCACAGCTCCTGCATACTGCAAATACTTAAGATGCCAGAAAGAAATTATATTGCTTTTGACTTCCATGAAGTGTGCTTGAGAAAGCAGAGGTCCAAGACTTAAATAAATGCTTTAGTTCACTATTACCTCTGCAATCTGATTTAGACAGGTTCAATTTTTATCTAAACAAGCACTAAATTCTACCAGTGAGATTCTTTGCTATGCCAGCTCACTATCCAGGCTGAAGAAGAGCTGAAGTAATCTTAAACTGTTTTTCAACTTCGGTAGGTCCAGTAACCTGTGATTCTTCAGCTAATTTTAAGAAGCTGACAGTTGTCCTCCTGCCTCCTCTCCTTCTCTGGCCTCTTTCTCCACCACTCACTCCACGAGCAGACACATAAACATGCTCTTCATCTCTTGTGGTGAGCAAAAGAGCTCCTAACAGATTTTTTTTCCCCACATCTATGGATTGCCCCTCCCCCCCCCCGCCCCCAGCCTC